GACGAAGTTGTTGGAATCTTAGCCATATTAGTTTGTTTACTTGCGGAAATAAACATTGTGATTTGAAAGGGTCTGCCAGTTTCATTTATGAGATTGGCCCTTTGTACTAGAACTCGTGTTTATCTTCCTCGGAATACACTTAGCACTTGCAACATTTAATTTTTCCCCCGAACAAACTTTTCCGAGAGTGTCAGCTCCTTGTCATCTAAGCCAATATCTTCCTGCACGCGCGATATACACGAAAATTCTTGGCGACTTTTCACGTCGCTATCGTAATACTTAGCCCTCCGTTTCCCCACCCTCTGCGTGCGATAGCATCAATGTAGAGCATCAGGAAATTATAATCTTCCGCTTCGATTCGGGCGGCGCGAGTAAATAGGGGTGAAATCGAAAGCCGTTTCGTTCTCTATATACTCACTCGTCCGCCGTGGCGATCATCGAGGCGGTGCCGATACCTCCCTCAGCGCTTCTTTTGCTCGCGGCTTTAACGCGCTTTGTCTACCTTTCGTATCCGCCCACCCACCGGCCCCGAGGGAGATAAGCGCGCCGAAAGTTCGCCCCGAAGGAAGCTATGGACGTGTAAAACTTTACGCGTTGTTCGCCAATCGGTAAAATGAGAAAAAACCCGTGGCGAGTGTTTTGGTTCGCGAGGGAATTATTTTGCTTTTTGCTAGCTTCTTATTTGCTTATTACACGACCGCATAGAATTGCCGGCTGCTATACATTCAACACGAAAGTACGGATAATTTTTAATTTGACAAGAAATAGAGCAGAACGCGCTGCCCGTGAAAACTGGAAAATATACTCTTGAGTAGTCTCTCTATTCCGCAGACATGACTATCCGCGCGTATATAGCACATGCGATCAATCGTCAAGAATAAAAGTTCAGCTAAACCGAAAGTTCAACAGTGATACTTTTAACTCCACGGCTCGATCGAACGGCAGACGATCAGGTGTTGTGCCCGACACGTTATAAATCACCCAGACGAGTTTGCTGATCGCTCGATTGACGTTAGCTAATAATGTTTGAACCTCGCTAGGTTTTAACGAAGCCGTCAGTTTTCGTGATGCTTTATATAACCAGAAGAGATAATATTATATGGCATAATATTGTAAAATTGTAGTATTTCAAGCTTCTGTTTTCAAGTATTTTTATATAAAATGGATTATTTATGATTTCATATGCGAATATGCACATATTTCCTAATAGGTATTAATATAGCATATAAAATAACTGCCGAGCTGAAACCTAATATTCGCGAAAATTAAATGTATGTCGAAGCTTATTTTGAAAAATAACAAGTCAGGTTCAAGACCCATTAAGGTAATAAAATATAAATAAAATAAAATTACTTTATTAAGCTTTATTGAACTCTGGTCAAAGCTTCCAAAAATTTTTTGAACAATCAAGTCAATTCTAACATTATACATGATTTTTTCACAAGATTTCTATCAGCGCTAGTAACAAAACTGTCAATCCATCGAGTTTTTCTTAAAACGTACAATATATACCACTTCGTAGAGAAGTTTCTAAAAAAACAGTTTTTAAGAGGGAAAACAATTTCAATCAAACTTTTCCGCTACACCGACTTTTCAAAAAAAAAGAAAAGATAAAAAAACCAATAAAACTTTTTCAACTTCAATAACTCTGAAAGCTTTTAAGAAAGAGTACTTACAAGGCCTGTTCGACGCAAAGTAAATTGAAAAATTCGTATAGTTTGGTCAACCACAGCAAAGAGAAAGCGATTTTACTGCACCGAAAGTTTTCTGCAGCAACAAAAGTTCAAGGTTGAGCGAAACGATGCATCAAGCGGTGACGGTGCGGTGCGCGTCGCAACATAAATACCACCGCGCGGCGGCGCAATCCGATACGCGTCAGGCGTTAGCTTTTCGCACTTGCTTCGCAGCCAGCAAGCGCTTCATACATCATCCGCACTTGGCCGCTTTCGGAAAAGTGTTTCTGCCTCGCAGTTGCAGTTTAGTTGATTCTCCCGCTCTCTCACGCCAAAGCGAAGTTACTCCGTGATTAAAAGCTCGCGCCGGCGGCTTTTTCAAGTTTATTGAAATACTCTTTTCTATCTCAACTTTTATATTAGTTCGGTCCAGGCGCAATGGACTTGAACATTGATTTTGATTAGTTTGCTTCTCTCGTTATATAGTCCGATTTTTATTTTGTGATCGAATGGAAAAATAAAATAACTTGTAAGCAATTCAAGCATTTATTTGTATTAATCAATTGCTCGTTTCTCCTACATTAAAAATCAAAACTCATCCTAACCAAAGTGCGTGTTGATAATCTCTACAGAATAGGAAATCTCACGACCGATTCATCAATATTGACAACAACTCATACACCAAGGGGTATGAGTATATGAGAAACTTGGTATAGAGTTGAAGGTAAATATCGCATCGAAGCATGAAGGCGCGAAAATTCTCTGGAGTCACGGGGCGCATTTACTAGACGGATATGATAAACGACGAGCTTCCGACGCATTTCCATGAGAGAGAGAGGGAGAGAGAGAGACGCAATGATGCGAAGAGAATATTGCCACGGCACATGGCGAGACAGGCGATGGAGAAGAATCGCCTCGAGGAGGTAAGATACATTGAGCTCACGGGAACGCGCGCATGATATAGTCCAGAAACAACGGATGGATTCGGCATTACATTATCGCGCTAATTTATCATTCTCGAGATTGTGGCAACTTGACCGATCGTTTGGAAACTATATTGGCTTGAAGGAAGCCAAGAATGAAGAGATAATAATATGTGAGATGCGCAGAAGATTTAGAAATGATAAAAAGAACATGTAACACGATTACAGTTTCATGATGCTCAGCAGGTACCTATAATTTTCAGATTAGCACGTAGGTTTGGGTAATTTTTTTTAACATTCCTTGAGCATCGTTTTTCTTCGTTCAATAATAATTAATGTCATTCTGGAAACTGTTTATTGGAATTCTATAAGACTCGAAATGAAAGTGCATTGTAAAGTTTGCGTTTTAATATGAATTTATATAAATTTCAGTTTTCTTAAATAACAAGATTAATTTAAAAAGTCGAGCTGAAATTCAAATTTAATAAAAATATGGTCATATCGAAATCGCGCGTGACGTTGATGAATATCGCAGACTTTTATGAAAAAGTCTTAGAAAGGATTAAAAACTTATTCTCAAAATCAATTTTTATTCCGATAAAACTCATATACGAGCATTAAAAACTAATAATAATAATAGATAATAATTATTTCATGATTAAAGCTCAAACTACATTCCATTTAGAAAATTAGTCAAACGCTAAACCATGTATGAACACGAGTATCAGCCAGTCGTACACAGTTACTGCGTTGAAAATTCTACAACTAAAATTCAGGTGCACTCAGTAAACTTTAAATGTATATGTATATATATAAAACTGAAAGCAGTGCGGTAATATTTTTGTTTGATAAACATGTTCTACATTTGGTATATTTAGCAGTAAAGCCAACGATTTCTCGTTCCTTTTAAATAGGACTACACGCGATTTTGGTTAGTATTCACATATGAAAGCTCTTAGAGAAATTACGTGCTGAATTTTTCCCCAAAGGTTTTCTTCAAAGCAGTTGGCGGTAGCTGTGAGCGAGGTGCGCGTTCGCCCTCAACACTCGCACTCACACTCGTACGATCTCACGTACGAGCCGCACACAAATGCGCATTGCCCTGCTTTTTTTCTTGAGCTTCTTGGAATGAAAAAAACAATGATAAATTAATGATAAGCAAAGTATCAATCATTTTTTTTATTTTGCGCCGTTGGAACTAATTAACAACTTCACGGTAACAACAACAAAAATGATCGGATACGACTGTTTTAGCTTTTTTCAGTAAACCTTTGTGTCGACCAAAGCTCAACTAATTACTAAGCTAGCTGTATAACTTCGTTACAGCTCGCTGGTTAATTCCTCTCCGACCAACGAACAAATAAAATTTCGTTCGCTCACTAATTGCCAGTCGCGGAACTCATTTCGCGCTTACAGTTTTTCCCGGTCCAATTTTTGTAGTGCTGTAGAAATAAACAAAACAAAGCTATGAAAAAGCAAAGAAAAAGAAGCACATTGGAAAGCCGCTTGTGGAAAATTATACGTAAGTAGAGTAAGCGTAGGTTCGGGCCGCCGAGCATAAATTCTCGCGTGCGTGCCCCGCCAACAATAAAGCTTCCGTTCGTTCCTCCTTTGAGCCTCTCTACTATGTGCTACGTTGCACATTCCGTACGCTCGAGCCAATGTCATGGAGCCTTCTATATACGTACTTATGTACGTACGTGTACGCGACGTTTTGCATGGTGCTCGACAAAAAATAGTGAGTATTGACCAGACCATAGAGCTGAATTATGGAAATTCATTTCCACGACCACCAATACATTAATTTTATCTCAAGTGGATTATTGTTTAATTTATTGTTGTAATATGCTCTATAAGAGTAGACATTTAAAACAATTAAAACCACTCCTAAAGCAGTGTAAATTTCATTGAAAATTAATAATTGTACGAAAACCATGCGATTTTAATTGAAATGCATGTATCGTCGGAAGCAAAAATATTAGGAAAGATTTTAAATACCAAAATAGCATATCTCTACAATTATAGTATATCTATATAATTATAGATATACATTTATAAAAATATACGAGTCTCGTATTCTTTTCAAAATAATCATAGCAACATTCGGTAAGTTTCAAAGCAGTGTAACCAGATTTTTTCGTTTTAACATTACCTTTGATGTTTCAATTGCGATAAAAGTTTACTCGAATAACGAAACCTAATTAACCCGAACCCATTCAAATTCCAAAGTACTCAACAGTTCTCTTACAGAAACAAAAGAGAAAGATGCAAAACATCTACACTAACGCACCATCGAAAGTGAGAGAGTGGGGGGCGATCCTGCGCGTTGAGCTACCGGCGAGGAAAACACGCAGGGAGGGTGAGTTTCACAGGCATCGCCAGTATCACATGAGTCGTGAGCCACGACTGCACGCGATTCGTTCCGTTCCGTTTTTAGCCTCGTTCGTGTATATTTTCTTTTCGTTTATCTACATAAGCAACATGTAGACGCCATGCTTTGGTCGGCACGTTACAGAGCTCTCTGGTGAACGAAAGTGCTGCGACTTTTGGATGAACGACGATGTTACTATACGGGCTTTGGTTTGTGCTTCAACTTCTCACCGACGCCGGTTTCTGCAATGCCAAACAACAAGGTGTGTAACTGCGAGCATTGCAGGCATTGGTTTTTTAACCCCCGAGAAGCTTCGCAATAATACATATATTTTAGCGAAGTGCTTAATGAGCTTTTAGAAGTTACGTGGGGTTAATTAATGCTTCCTCATAAATACTTCATCAGTAAGTAAGCTAAGAGGTTTTTTTTCCTGCGCTATGTATACATAACGCAGCCTGCGTCTCATTCATTATTGTTACAGGTTAATAAATCATGGAATAAGTGCTTCGTCCAGCATTGTCAGGTCGCTTAATAACTTGACGTATAATCATTTGTCAGAGGGCTGGTGCCTTGATAATGCGATATTTAAATTTTCTTTATGTGACATTCGCAATATAGCCTACAGAAAAATTTTCTTTATACGCGCGTGTATAATTCTGATGCGTTAATATTTTACGATGTATTAGAGATAAACAATTCGTAATACGTCGTTTAAGAAACGGACTGGTATTGTCATTTATATTTACTCATATAATTCTCTATAATTTGTGGTTTGCGCTGAATTCTTATACATTCTATATAAAAATTATCTAAATTTAATTTTCTTTAACTTTTCGGTGGTTTACGTACAAAAGGTTACAAGTTGAATTTGTACAAAAAATAAAGATGTAAGGGTGTTGCACAATTAAATCCGTTATTTCGTTGGAAGCCCCCATCAGCATTTACAAACTATTCAAACTATACATTTAGTAACATATTCAAACAGGAAGTGACGAAATCATACAAGTCATTAGAGAGTCCACGCGCAAACGACAGACAATTTACATGACAAGTGACGCCTTACACATCGCAACCCCAAAAGCATTCGAAAATCCTCGCGCTCCAGTAGTCGTTACACGTTGCGGCAGAAAGAGAGAGAGCATAAGAAGCCTCGAAGATGCCGTCGCGTGCACTACTCAATCGGACGGATTACCCATTGTCGCTCAGTTGGAAATCCTCTCTCTCTCTTTCTCTCTCTCTTCATGGACGGGTAAGGGAGAGACTGTAGGTATTCTCTCTCTCTCTGACCGCAATGATCGATATTGACGGTGTAGTGGGCACATGCCATGGGGCTTTGGAGTGTGCACTGTCTGATCTGGCACGCTGCTCGCACCAAATTGATAGACTCCTAGCTATACCCTAGTCGACCTCTCTCTCACTGTCTCTTTCTCTCTCGCGTGCTTCAAGAGATTGGCTCGAATTTCGTGCTGGCATTTAAGAGCTTTTTCCACTTTATACTATTACTTTGATTCAATTGTGTCGTTAGTTTGCTTTTTTTTTGTTTTTGTTTTAATTTTGTTGATAATTTTAAAGATTATTATTATGTTATGTTATTTTATGGTGATTACTGTGGAAGAGTTTCCCAAGCCATTCTTTTTATATGTTTAATAAATTGTTATCGAAAGTTACGTTGATCCAAGAAATTTAAAAGTATCAAGTTCATTATATCCACGAACGAAAGTAGTGAAAACTTCCGTTATACTCGAAACTCAGCTAAATTTAGATTCTAATTGAATTATCTTCTACTTAATGCAACAAGTTCTTCACTTTATTGTAAGTTCTGCTATTTGAGTTCGAAGTTGTAGTAACATTGTTCACTAAGTGTCTCTACATATGTAAGAGAATTTTTTTGGCACAGTTAAAATTAGATCAATTTTCTTTCCGTTGGAAATTTATTCAACATCTTCTAGAACTATATGTATTTCATGAACAAAAAATATAAAAAAATACATTGAATGGCTACCAAGTTATAAGGCAAAACTATTTAGCTAACATAAAAATTTACCATCAGAATTAAAAATAGAAATTCATAGTTAGCATAAATTGATCATCGACGTTTATACTACCAACTCAAATATTATTTGTTGGTTGGAAATAGACATTCTTCGGGCTATTCGAATAGTTTACTCACCATACCATTTCACTCCTGGAGTAACAATAACAGTGAATCACCGAAGTATGCACTTTATTCATTCTTGTCTGTCGAGAGGGTTCATAATTTTATTTCGAGCTCAAGCCTTGATGATCCAATTTGCCTTTGGCTTGGAACTATTCGCAATGACAGGATTTTTCTTTCAATTTTCCGATCTTGGCTTCTTTTTCTCACTGTCGGCGCGTACATCTTTGATCAGTTGATTACGCGGTGTTGGATGCGATCCAACGAATCTATCCTCGGCCTCAAGACTTGCAGGAAAGGTCGCTCCACTTTGAAGGAATCAATAAATTCGACTTCTTTTTATGAAATATCTGTCTCTGGCTACTTTCAATTTTCATCCTACGGTTGTTTTCTATCCTGATGAAAATTGGAAATCGTATAGCAGATGCTCGCAGTAATTTCATTCAAGCTCCATTAGTTTTTTTTGGTATCTTAAAATAATTGAGTTTTTATTTCCGAGAAGAAAAAAATTCATAACTCAAAAGAATGGATTCAGAACTCGTACATAAATGAAAAAGAGTTATTGCGCACTTCATTTTAATAAAATAAAAATATTTCCATGTCTGAAAAGAAAAGGAAAACGGACTTTGAAAGCTTTATAGCTACAAAACTTTAGATAAGGTTCTTTTAGTTCGCGGTGACGAATCCAAATATAATATCTTTGCATAAAAAGTAGAACTCTGAAAATTGTACATTTTTCACGAATCTTTGACAATTCTGTAGAAATATAGGAGATAGTAAAAACTTATTACAACTCACTGTAAGACCCATTAAGCGGCATATAAAATTGGAAGTTCTCAAGAAGATAAAATCCGAGAGTTTAATTAAAATATTCATCTTTAATACACAAAACAGTATCATACTCATAATGTTTGTACGAATTTAGAAAAAGGATTCGTAATAAGTAGAGTAAAACAAGTACGTAAAACATTTTTCGTAATATCTACCAAAAGAGATTGTTTTTTTCAACCGTACACACAACATATGCGGAATCTTATAATTATTTAGTTGTAATAAGCCTATGTTATAAGTGAGTATCAAATTTGAAAAATCTCAATTTAACATAGAACTTTGAAAGATTTAATTAAGCCGCCATAAAAACAAGCATAAATCTTGATTAATGAAACAGCAAGCTGGAAGTAGCTATAAAAGATGCAGCGAAAGTTCTCGCTTAATTAATAGTTTAATTACTCAAACGCGAGCATCTCTATCTTTGTCTGTGGCAGAGAATATAACCCCCCATAAAAAGATCTCATGCTCAATGAATAGAGAAAAGTCAGTGGGAGAGCTTAACGTAATGCAATTTTCTTTTTACTTTCTTCGAGGATTCCCACTCCAATGTAATATTTCGCTTGCTTATACTTTATGAATTCATTCAAAACTCAAGGATACTCTCTCGTTTGCTCGAGCAAACACGCAGTTTCTACAGTTGGTTGTATAATTAAATGCAGCTTTAAACTGAAGTTTCCATTGCACTCGAGACGATGTTGTTGCTATGTTGATTACTTGTCCTTACTTAGATTAACTCGGCCACGGACGAACTTACCCGAGCTCGTGTTACCGAAACTGACATTTTATATGAACTATGTGGTGTTGCTCTCTATATAAAGAATAATATTAAATACTTCTAGAAATTATAAAATTTCAAAGGTCATTTTCAAAGCAATTATTACTATATGACTCATTTTTAGTTAGCGTTATTTTTTTTGTGTATAAAAATGAAAAGCTCATATTTTTCTTTAGATAAAATTTAAATGAACTGAAAACAGAAATAAAAGTAGTTTTTCAAGCTTCTAGACTGACATGTTCACAAGATGATTTTTTCCATTCGTTGAGTGCACTAATTCCCTTTGCTATGAATCTTTTTAATAGGAAATTAATGAAGGTGACACAGCAGCAGTAGCTCTTGACGAGGAAAATGGGAAAAAAATAAGCTGCGAGAAAAGCTTAACCTTGCCGTATCCTAAAAAAAAAGCAGGCGCATTATAAGGGTGATCATTTTGATTTATCGTGATTAAATCTGCGACGCGTGCGCGGCTTTCATTGTAAAATCTGCCTTTGGCAATACAGCACAATGAGATCAAGTTTTTCGAGTAATTAGATACAACGTATAACAGTGCAACGACAAACGCACTCCTCAGGATGTTCCGTGGAATAACGAACTTGAAAGAGTTTACGTTTTATTATTATTTTTTTTTTTTTAAGAAGAATGTCATCGTTGGCTCAGTTGTACGTACCGAATTTAAATGGCACGAACAAGACGACTATCGCTTAGCATAATCCTCTTAGTTGCGGGTTGATAAAATGACGAAGCTTCCCCGGAAATCGAAGTTGTAAAATCCTTTAGAATAGTCAAGATCCATTTGCAACTTTGCACCAACATATTTCAGAAACAAACCGTAGACAAAATTCAATAAACAAAACCATAGATAAAGCTACATTTTCATATCATACATATCTCGCATTTTCTCACCTCCCCCATTAAAAAGAAGAAGGGGAAGAAAAAAATAGATATAAAGAAGCTTCAATCTTCTCATCATTTGCTTTGCTTACATAATGCACTGCCTCTTATTTCTCGTACATATTTTTGCGCGGCGGCGTTGGCGGGCGCAATGGGATTCGAAATACGATACGCGCAATTTTGAATTCAAGACGTGCGAGCCACTGCGCCGCTTTTCGATACATAGGCAAAGAGCGTAACGCCCTTCGTGCTATGAAAAACAATGCCACGCGGGATAAGCGTGCGTACGTATACTTTTCAAAGGAGGGTGTATTTTATATAGCTTCGCTTGAGAAAAAAATACGATATGGCAGACAGAGATATTGGATGCCGAGTGGGTAAAGCTATTCTTCTTTTTCTTCTTTTTTTTATTTTTATCGCTCGGTGAACTTGGAATGATAGATTCACTGCTGTTTCTCGTTTGATTTAAGAGATTGGCAATTTATTCGGTTTCTCGAATTTCCGTAACCATCCCTCGCACAATGTTGATCTTGGGTTGTACGTGAACTTCATGTAAATTGAGAAAGCTTTCAAAGTAATCGTATAATATTGTTTAACTAATACTCATTTTTTGTTATCTTCGAAAATTCCAACCTAAAATTTTTCATCTTTTCGTAAATCACTCGAGCGTCTGATAACCTAACTCGAACTTTAATATCTCTCGAACTCTCCACACCAAGTTAAGAAAAAAATAAAAAAAAAGATTATCATAAAAGTTTTCCGCAGTATCAGCTCAGTTATTTGGCAACAAGCAGCAGCTCGGCAGCGTCCACTTCGCTGTTGCGCGCACACATAACCCATAAACACGGAAGCAGTGGTGAACACACACACACACACATACACCACCACCATCACACATACAGAGCTTCACGAGTATTAAGTCCGTTGCGAGGGTGTTGCACATGCGGTCACCAGTTTCTCCATAGTATAATATCGGTCAAGCTACGGCAGTTCCGGGTCTTCATTATAACTTATAATAGCTAGGCGAGAGGAAACTTTAAATCCAATTTCTGGCGCTCACCGTAACTTAAGCTAGGACTTTGCGTATTGTGCGATTTAAAAGAAAAAATGTGTCTGTTCAGTGAACTTTGTGGACTTTGTATACGCATATTTACGCGAACTCCGATCAATATTTATCTTGTCGTCTGCATTGCCAACTTTCATTTGGTGTTTTCTCGCTGGATATATTTGGTCTGTTGTTTATTCTGCTTTTGTACATACTATGGGCTGAAAGAGCAGGATATTGTTTTGATAAGCCATAGAAAAAAAAAGATTTTTAATAACAATCGGAATGTCACTGCCAATGAAATATTTCGAAAATATTCGTCGATTCCATATAGACAAATACAAGTTAAAGTTGACTATACTTCTGTTTGTCTATACCCATCTGTGAACATAATTTCATTTTATAAAATACGTCATTGTTCAAACTCACGTATATCCTGATTGGGTGGTGGCATTCATCTAACAAAAAAAGGCATGCACTCAACTGTATTTGAACTTATTATTGCCGGCACATTTCGACGAATTGGATGTGCAGCCAGATAGTTAGAAGAGATGGGAATATAAGAAAGTTTTTCAAAAGGGCTGGCGAAAAGTTCTCTTGAGACATAGCAGTTTTTGAACTACTTGAACGGATGCTTTTCAAACTTCAATTGGCATATACACGAAATTCGTGCAATTTTCACTGGTTGCAAATTTGAATGATCCTCCGCGAATCTACTCTGGGTTTCGTACATTTCTAAACTTGTATATGCTGAATAGGGGCAGAACAAATCTCATGTACGCAAGGGAAAACAAAGAATTTTACATGATATCTAACTTTCATTGTTTTTTTTCTATGGCGCTTGAAATCAAGATAAGTTATTTAAAAAATCAACAAAAAATCACGTAATATAAGCCGACTGGACTCGCAGAGCTTCGGAGCGTCACGCTTGTCGTTTGCATAAACGCAAACACGCGTCCATGTACTTACTAAGCTTTTGAGTTTTCGTGCAATTTTCTCAAGTGACCTCATAGCACTGCATTAGGGTAATTAAAACGGCCAACTTTTTTAAAAACTTTTGGCTGCGTTTGATACGTTCTGGGTTACACACAAACTATAGTTTTTTTTAAATTCCTTATCTAGAACAGAGCGAAAATATCATAAAGCAAATATTAAATTTTCCGCATAAAATTACAATGAGCATTAAATTTCACAAAACAAGATGCATGTGAGCAACTACCACGTTGATTTGTTTTCAATTTCAGTTTTGTACTTATGTATGCGTACGAACATTCGTTTTCTACGTGAAAAATACTTGTTTCGCCAGCGCTTCTCAAATTACATACGATCAATAGAAATTACAGGCCGATACGAATAATTCAGTATTAATTAACTGAAATCTCATTCAATTTTCTGCTGATTTCGATTCACGAAATCTGTTACTAGCTGGTAAATAAATCGTAGTCCGAGTGAATGTGCAATTGCGTTTTAATGTCCTGTTATATATTAGTAGGTACGTGTAGCTATTGAGAGAATAGGACAACGGTGATGTGGAGAGAATATACAATGAATTCTATTATTCAGTTGGATTAGCAATGCATCATTGAATTACTTATTCAAAGAATAAATAATTGAATTTATCGTCGAAGGCATGGTTAAATATATAAACGAAGTTCCTGAAAGGAGCATCTAAAATTATATGCGTTTGAAACTGAAAAAAGCGACATGATTTTCATTTTTTTAGTACACGCTCGGAATGTTCAGCAAAGTCCTTATGCGCTTAATTGACGCTACTGAACTGCGTACAAAAATACTAATGAACCTGAAGGTACATACGCGCGAGAGAGGGAGAAGTAATTATTCGCGATGGGATTAGACGCTCGGCGCCTGCGCGCATATACGTAGAGCAAGAATAATTCCTGCGTGAAAAGGCGATGCGCGCGAGCGAGCGTTTGCGAGGGGTGCAAATTGCGCTTTCTGCCTCTGAGTAATTTATGCGTAATTACAGTTTATGTAACAATACGAAGCGCACACATTATCCAATCGTACGTAAACTATGTTGTCGCATACAGTTCGCTTTCTTTTCTTTTTCTTCATAAATAGAACAGTTGTCTTATATGCAGATGATTTATCTATAACAAAGAATTATTGAACTTTTTCTTATTGTTATATTTAATTATATAAGCAAACAAAGACTTGTCGATCTATTAAAGCGTCAAGTAAAACTCATTTTTTCAGAATTTTAATCGACATCGTTATCTTTAGGAGCTTGTAATAATAGAAATTGCACATTTCAACATCACAATATCAAATTATGTAGTCTTTTTTAAATAAAAGTCCTTATAGATGAATGATGATACTAGTTATAATATTTAAAATACGATAATTTTAATTTGCTATCTTGAAAGATCATTATTGAATAATTAATCGAAAATTTCGAAAGTAGTTTCACTAATTTTTGCAAAATACTGTTTACAATTGAAAATAATGACTCCCATACCTGCCAATTACGTAACTATAGTTTCATTCAAAACTCCACGCAACAGTAACTGTCATTCAGAAAATAAAATGTTTAGGCCATAAGGAATTAAAATGAAATTGTCTGGTTTACAGGGCGTGAATCCCATACTGCAGCATTGCTACAGGAGGAATGTAAATTGGAAGGATTGCATCCTCTTCTCATCGTCACTTACAAGAACATCACGATATCGGTGAGTGTCTACGGAAAAAGGAAAACTTTTATTCCTATTATACCTCGTTATTTTTGCATATTTTTATCAAGCATTCACTTCTCTCGGCAGAAACGTAAATATTTAACGTGAAGATACCATGTCTTTCCCACTTTCTTTGAATATTCATGATTTTTACAAGACACGAAGCGAAGATATTGCAATTCTGAGAACTCATTTTATCGTACATATACGGCAACTTCATTCGCATTTTCAAGACGAGAAGCTTTAAATCTCTAGAACTCGATATGAATTTCTAAAAGAAAGTCTAACATTCAACAGACCTATATCTGTAACGATTCTCTGGATGAAGAGAAAAGGAAAGTTCGATTGGAAAGATAGTAACAAAGTCTCTTTAATTTCAATGCTTAGTCTATGAAGAGAAGTTTTTCCAAGAAAACCAAATAGTTTTCACTGTTAACGTCGTCCGTTTTTCGCCATTCTCTCGTTATACTTTTCATCTTCCGCCCACTTTCACTCGGCTCTCTCTACCAGTATTATTACGTGGAAAACAAGCGGCTTCGTTCCGTCGCGCATCCATAACCTGCAGATCCTCTAGGGAGGATCGATATTTTTCTCACTCTAGCCACAGAAGCTACAAATCTTCCTCTAATGGCCGCATCAAATTTTACTTTCCTAGAGGAATTTCCAATGTCGGGAGGGAACAATTTACGGTATATCCGGCCTTTGCGCATTTAACGTTATGTTCCTCTGTTTATTTAGTCGCATGCCAACGAGAAAACTCGTTGCTTGTAATGTCTTTACATATAATTTATTGTCCTGAATTTTTGCCGGCTGGGTGGTTGCAGTAATTTCAGCCAATTGCGCGACAGTTTATTACGTAGCATAGATAGTAGAGTGCGCATTAGTAACTATTTGGATTTTCGGTATCTAGGTCAGCAACTAGAGAATTGCCATAGTTCGGAAGCATGCCCCTGGCGCTATAAGTTGTATAAAACTCTTCGAATTATGATATTGGTTGCAAATATAACAATGGGACAATCACACTGTAGCGGGAATAGTGGACGATCATTCACACTGTAAATGCGAAATAAAGCATTTGAAATTTATATGATCTACCTAAAATTCATAATCAATATCATACTAATTTAGAAAAGTTAATACTTCATTAACAGTCATTTTACTTAATCTATATTTTTGTGGAATAGTAATATTCGGTAAACGCAATATTGAGCGAGATGAAATAGTAACTTACCACAAAAATGGCAAATTCACTCGAAGAAATAAAAAAAATATGCAAGTAATGTAAATCAGTCCAAATTGCTTATTCTCAAGCGGCTAAAAGAGGATCAGCATCAAGTATAACGAGCGCATAAGACAAAAGCGGAGAGAGTGAGGAAAAAGGGTGGCGTCGTTGAAAATCACGTTAATCCGCGAAAGATTAACATTTTGCTTGGTAGAAAGGGAGATGCGCGAATGCAAATGTAATCCCCGGACGTTAAATCATCTGCCTCAAGGACGATCACATTTAAATAGAAACGCGACGAGAGAGAGAGAGGGAAGCGGAAAATTTGTGCGCGCAGTGATGCGAGTCAGCGTTATGTCGGACGTGCTTGCCAACGCATTTATCCTTCATTGAGGTAACGAGTGTATACCACGACGAAGAATGAGAAAGAGATGCAGATCTGTCATTTCTTGTCATGGGAATAATATGCGGTAGTCGTGCTATGACGTTAATGCGATGATGCGGGAAATGTAGATTGGACGTAATTTTCTTTTGTTTTCCTCTGTAGTATGATTAATATCTAAGACATGGTCTTTAATGTTAATAGAGAATGTTTGCAGTAATAGACAAAATTTTTAATAATGTCACTTCAATAATACCATCTGGTCGCTATAATACATTTTTTTCCCTGATAACGAATAAACGTCGATTTTTAATTGAAAGAAAAAAAAAGACTATTTCAAGATAATAAAATAAGTAACTACCCCTTCTTCACACAATCGCTAAGAGAAAAAGGAGCTTTCCTCTCTACGACGGTTTAGGCGACGAGAGAAGCTCCTCGCAAGTGGCAATGGTTTAGATCGCGCGGCCAACCGGCCAATTTGTAACCAAATAAGGTCCTGGGCATTTATTCCGTTCAATCCATTAGGCAGCCAAGGCATTATGGGTCGCTCTCGTAACACCACAGCCACTTACCTCTCACCTAAACCCTCTCACCTCTCTCTCGCGCTTCACCTCTATTCCCAGATTACTTTGCATCCGAATGGCCAGTTCACCGTTGCGTCAAGGCTAACCCGCCAACGGTTCACACGATGCGACTTTGTACTACTTTATTGTGTGTTTGTAAACCTGATTTTTCATTTAAGTGATTAAATTATATCGATTCGGTGGGATGAAAAATGGTATTATGACGACTTTATGCTTGCACGTGCGTTCGTGGAAATAAACGCACTTTATGTTTCGTTTGTAGTATCGTGGTAGTAAAAATTTTTAAGTATTTTTTATTGTTACAAATTGATATCGATAAAGCCAACTGCATTCCAATAAAATCCGATGGATACGAACAATTATATTTTTTTCATTCTAAATCTGTTAACGAACGTTGGTCGTATTGGCCGATACTCAACAATTTTAATATCTTTGACAAAAAGCCTTTGAAACTTTAATTTTCGAAGAATTTATATTGAACATTAAAATTCCAATCTCAAAAATGTTTTGATCGTCGCGAATATATAGATTTTTTCCATCCTGGCGCAAAAAAATTTCATTAAATAGAGGTGTGCTACAATACTATACACCAAACGAACTTACAGGCACGTACAAAAAAAACACTTTCTCGCGTCGAGGAGAAAACAAGAATAAGCGAATACTCGGCATAGAAGAAAAAGAAGTACACGTCACTCGACGACCAAATTGGCGTCGACGCAGCAAATGAAGCGAGCCAGAATAAAATGAGAAAGGTGTGCGCGCGCGCCGATACGGTCACTCGCACGGGAAATTGCAGACTTTCGGCTAGCAGAACGCTTATGCCTGCTGCGTGAAAATTTCATTCTTTTGTTCGGGCAGTTCTCTCTGTCTCCCCCCCTCCCTCCCTTTTCTGTTCGTTCGTTCGACGAAACGTGCTGACATTCTGCCTCGCGAAAAATAGACTGCGCTCGATTCGCGCGCGCGCATGTGTGTACGCGCCTGTGTCTGAGAGGATTTAGTTTGATAGCTTCTGGCAAATATGTTTTGCTCGTTTGCCGAATTCACTGGGTTTTGTTTTATGTATTCGCCTATAGAAAATACGTATAATAACAACGGTTTGGATTTGCTTTTGTGGCTTTGTTTCAATATTATTTACCAAATATGCGCCACTGAATGACCTTCTTGAAATATTTGAATTTTGTTCAACACGTGGAAAAAAAATACTAGCGAAATATATGTAAATACGTAATGCACGAGAAAATAGTCTTAGAACACCTTTTTTAAAAATCCACACATACTCCTCTTTTGTTGTAAGTGATATTTCCGGCGAATAACGAACGTCGTAGCAATTTTTATTATACTTGCAGTTATATTTTACTCGTGCAAGCTTTTATTTATTTGATACGTTGAAATTAGGTTACTTTGCACACTGTAAAAATACATGAAAATCGAATGAAAATTGCACTCCATAAAATTCCGTGTAACCTTAACGTAATGTAATTCGTTCAATTTCTATTCACATACGGGAAAAAGCCACAAACTTATCAGCAAAGTGGTTTTAAATGTAAATATATCCGAATAGCACTGAGTAAACAAGTACTATGTCAAATACTCTGGAGAAATTACCACATAAGGAAATGCGGTTGTCATGCAATCCTACGGAGACAGTCCTAGTCAATGCATATTAACGAACTTTTGCAATCTCTAGTCGAGTTCTACTTGGAAAAAAGCCTCGAAGAATCCTATATTACGGGTTTTCTCAAAGAAAATGTTTGTAATTGCATTGTCTACTCAAGTTGAGATTTGCGAGAAAATGTCTTTTTTCTCGCTAGCTTTTTGAACTACTTTTCTCGTTTTGAGCAGCTAGCAAAATAAATAGCTTTTTTAACTTTCACCCGTCAATTACTACGATCATGAAAACTTGCTGACACCATTTTTCAGTCCAGCGCAATATTGAGTCTGTAATACTCATTAACTGTCCGCGCAAAAATGTGTTTATTACGTTATTCGCATCGCCTTCGACAGAAGCAAAATTGAAACTAGCATGTGTTACATTGAATGCTCCATCACTTCGCAACAACATTAAGACAGATCTTGAAACGTTCACTTGACACTCTCGCAAGAAGCTCACTTTGGTGGCTTGTGGAATTGCCGGAGGGAAAAGAAAGTCCATCGTCGTCGTCGGAGACAGAGGCACGTCAAGCACGATATCGTAGCAACCACGGTGGTGGCGCATTATTATCTCATCAGAAGATTTCGTCTCTTGCCGTGCGAATATTAAGCGACGGCTGGAATTACGTGCTCGCGGTCGCCCGCGGGGAGGTAGCACACAGACTCTCTCTTCAAAGGTTAAAGTTCGCCGTCGGCGCTCTCTCTCTCTCTCTCTCTCTCTCTCTCTCTCTCTCTCTCCTTCTCGTCTTATTGCCGTCTTGGGAGTTTAGAGCTTGCACTGTTATTTTTCTTCCAGCACGAGCGGGTGAGTGGCAGCAGCCAACTCTCTGTTTCACTTTTTCTCAAATCCGCCGGTTAATGACTGCCGTGAGAGCCTTTGTCTAGGGCTCGAGTGAGATTGTTCTGCGAGATTTTCGAGTCTTTATCTTTTGCACGATTGATGTGCGCGGAAAAGTCTGCTTCTTTCTGCTGTCTGTTGCTTTTCCTACTGCCGTCACGAGCCGTATGTCGCTCCTTTTATTTGCTGACAGCGCTCATGTATTCTTCTTGCCTTTGCCTTGACTTACATGCACATTCTTTTAACTTATAATCCAAACTCAACAATTTCTTCATATATGCAGCTGTTTTATACACTAAACACTTCGATCTGTCATTACAGTACGATATTGTCACTGAAACTTTATCGAGTTGAAATCGAACGTAAATGTTAGAGTACTTTCTACGTAAGTCCACGACACAGCAATAAAAACTACTGAACAAGCTCCTGAAAAATTGCCGATTGCGACTTTTTGATCACTTGCCAGTGTGAAGAATTCAGAATGCACAGCAGCCTCAAAAACTTATTTTGCGGGAAGAGAGCTATAAAATGCGCGAAATTTAAAGAACCTTTAAGGCGCTAAGCTTGTAGTGAGCGAGAAAAATCCGAGAGCAGAATATCGAACTGCATTTCTCTGGCGCTAGCAACACAGAGCTCTCGCCGCATTCCGAGCACGACTCGGACGTCTTTCTCTAGTTCTCGCGGAATATTCGCACCCACGCATATATTTTTTGGCAACGCGAGATCGTGAAATCATATGTTCGACGCTGCACTGCAATAAGTTATCGGGTTGCGCAAAGTGCTATTCCACTGCCCACTTTAAATAGTTTCATCGTAATTATAATTTCATTTTCATTTTCGATAATGTCTTACCAACTTCGAGGAGAATTATAATTGAAAACTCAATTTTTTTCATTCGACATTTTAAAAAACTTAGAAATTACAAATAATCCTGAAAAGAAATTAAATTAATTTCCTTAACAATTTATTCATCAGAAATTTGCAAATGCACATTTTCACGAACCAATCTCAAAATTAACTGAAATTATGAAAAATATAAAAAACATTAAAAATATATGAAAAAAGTAATATTCTTGCTTCGTGTCACTGAAACATTAAAATATCAACTGATTTTGCTTCTCAGGTGGATAAAATCTCGGTGCCACACAGCGAAAAGTTGACGGTGCGATGTCGAGATCTCGGCAAGTACAAGCTTGTAGGCGAGCCTATAATGCAGTGCCGCAACGGCGTCTGGAACGGACAGGTGCCCAGCTGCATACCCACCACTGCTCTCGCTAATTACACAGGTTAGTCTTCGTCGTATAAGATCCACATACCTTTATTATCTACTACTACAGTACGTCTCTCTTATATACGGGTGAAAGACATTTTTCGTTGTGCAACTTGACATTCGTTTTTATTTTTAATTGACTGGTTTAATTATTTGGAGATATAGAAAGAATATATTTTGTGAGAAATTACTGCGAGTAAATTTCATTTTTGACGTATAAATCCTCTTTGAGGTACGTAACATTTGCTCTAAAGAAATTTCTTAATTACTTTCATCTTTTTCATAGAATACCTATAATTAATTGCTCTGAGATAAATTATAATTTCATTGTAACGTGTAATTTATTTAATCATAAATCTCGTTCACTGTTAATGCAAATTAAATTTTTTGCTTACTCATTGGCATTTATTCATAAGGTACATGAATAATATATATGAAAATTAAAACAATTTCTACGTAAAAGTGAAACAAAAATTAATCTCTTCTCGGTGTTTTTCACTTTCAATAATGACATTCCCTTATCTTCACCCTTTTATCCTCATCCCTATCCTGGTACAGTTCGTTGAACTTACAATTTTTGCAAGCATGACGACAAAAAAACGAGGGAGAACAGAAACTTGGGTAAATTAACTTTTGTACAGGATCAAGAGAAACGAATACGAGATGGAAAAAAGGGACATGCAGTACGTGCTTTCTCTCCCTCGAGGGAGAGAGAGAGAGAGCGCGCTTCATCTCCCTACCACCTTTTTCGGTGTACGCTAAACTAGAGAGAAAGATAACGTCACGTACGAGGTGTCTAATTCAGAAGAGTTACGAACGTATGAGATCCTATTTAAGAGAGAAACCTTTAATTGAGGGGAGGGGGAGAGAGACATACTTTTTATTATCTTTCGTTCTTCTTCTTCTCAATTGCGATTACGCGTTAGAGCTATATTTGGAGTTTCGTGAAACATTAATTGCGTACTTTTTACGAGGTAGCTTGTTTCGGGCGTGGATTCCGGTATTAGGAACGGACTTTTCTTGTTATGTACGAATATAACTTTTGTAACGATCCCAAACTACGAACGTCAAAATTCGCGATTTCCAAGCACAAAAATATTGACCGCTCGCTCGTTAATGATTAATTTCACAAGTGAACCCAACCCTTCCATCACTTGTTGCAAAAGGAAGTCACTTGTTATAAGAAATGATTTTGTTAGTGTAATAATTTTACGCTTTGACAAGATTTGTCTCCGGAATGGTCTTTTTTTTAAGAAGTGATATTAAGACAAACAGTATAAATGCAAACATTTGTTCGGCGGTCTGACTGATATCCGATATTTTCACTTGCGGTCAAACACAAGATCATACTATTATTACAGCTATTATTTCATTTAATTTTATTTTTCAAAGTTTATGCAACGATAATTAAATATTAAAGTACCATGCAATCATTCCAAGTGTATTCTATTTTCTATTCTCATAAAATGTATGTCTATAAGCGAATTGAATTTCCAAGAAGATTTCAAGCTCAGTGCCTTGGAAAATCCTAATCGTATGACAAATCGACGTTAAATATTCGAAGAATGTCGATAACTTTGATCTCTTTCGACAGGCGTTCAGTGGAATTCTTCTGCTTGATGTATCCTTTTAACGAGAATTCGCTCACAGCAAAGAATGGAAAAAAGAATTCCAAAGCGTAAAGTCTAGCGATAGAATCCGTGGAATGTGTCTTAAGCATCTAAAAGAAATCTAATTTTTTAACTATCTACCCATTTCTCTTATTCGTAAACTGATTTTTTAATCGGATCATTGTCCAATTAAAAAAGTTATTACTTTCATAAAAACTAAGAACGTAATTTAACATCAATTCGTAGTCGCTTGGGAAAATCGTCTCAATCGTTATTTATAAAACAAAGTAAACGGCAATTTCATGCCCTTAAGTGATTTTTTTTTGTCTAAATTGATTAATCTCCTTATATAATTTAACTAGCTCTTAAAAGAAACAAGACATTACGAATTGAAAGGAAAAATCTGCCAATATTATGACGAAGGCAGGTGGGCTTGTCTATACCTATCCTCTAGACGCGAAAACACAGAAGAGAAAAAAAAAAGAAAAGTAGCAAAGGCATGCGACGTCGGATGCTTGGCAATGCAGACAGGCATTCTCTGGCTTGCGCGTGCGTGGAGAGAAAGCGATTTCGCTTTCCATCCACGTACACGTTCTGCCAGCGAGCGAGAGCGCGCCAACCTCGCAAGAAAATACGAGTGAGAGAGACTCGCGTGTTTGACGAAGTTTTCTCTCTCTCTCTCTCACTCTCTCTACCAGTGCACCGGATTTGCATTTGCGATTTATCATGCGATTAGACATTCATTTGATTACGTCTTGTATAGTTTGCGTTGGAAACGAGTTACTTTTCTCCCGTACCCTAATGCTGAAAAAGATGATTGGCCAAGTGCGTTCGTCAAATTACATATCAACGTTTTTTTTTATATTCTTGATATTTTTAAAATCGAGTCGAGTGACAATTTTCGAGATTGATAAGAATCGATGAGCTATAGAAAATATTTTGCCAGCGGAAAAAATGTATCGTGGTTAGACAAAGTTGAAAAAAATTTAATTTTTTTCAGGGCGATTAAAAAATATATTTGTCTCTACATAATGTCTATTATTCCAAATGAACCAGGAAAAATTTTATAATCAAAATTCAGTACTCAAAAATTCCCTCTCAAGTCCAAAGAACAAATTTAATCGGGGTCAGAGCAAACGCAACCGCAGGAGAACGCTAGTCCTGGCAAACAACGAGATTTTCGTGGGCCTCAAAGCTCCGTTACTCCATCAACTTTGAGTGCGCGAGCGTGTGGGTATATGTACGTACCGCTACAAAGTATCTCTCTCCATCTCTTTCTTTTTTCAACCTTGCGCTCGCGTGTAACGTTCCTCTCTCTCTCCCTCTCTCTCTCTCTCTCTCTCTCTCTCTCTCTCTCTCTCTCTCTCTCTCTTTCCTGAAATTTTAATAAGGCGAGGAGATGCTGAAAGGTGGGGCTTTAGATAGTACATACTGTGATAATATGTATGAAAGGTCTTTGCACGATGGAGAGAAGAGTATGTATGCATAAGGCACAGTTCATCTCTTTCAAACGCAAGACTAGGCTTGTTTTGCTTTTTTTGTGCTGCTGCTACTGTTGCCTCGTTCTTCGACGTTGGTTTACTCTTTTACCTTTCTTTTGGCAAGTTTACTATGTTTTTGCACGAGCTGTACAAACCTTGGAACTCCTTTTTTTATTGGATTGTATACTCTCTATACCACTCATTGTGCTTCATAGTCCTATATATTATTTCTTATTTTATCGAGTTTTCTTACGCTGTGAGTCAAGTTCATTTTATCCGAATGATGTACATTTTATTTTTTAAATATTGTCTCTTCTTAATTATATCAAGTTTAAAAGTTATTATTTTTTTATTATCCTTGTAGAAAGATAGGCTATCATAATATTAATATTGAAAATGTAATACTTATTAGCTTGAGTGTGTTCCAAATAACACAAAGGCAAAAATAATCTTCGAAATCTTTTCACAAAGTAGCGGAAGAAAAGATATTTTCAGTGGCAAAGATTACTCTGCGATCTATATATATATATAGCTCAGAAGTAAATCCCGAAAATACAGTCTATCTATTACTCCTCACATCGTTGTGTCCCTACTGGGGCCAACCACCAAAATTCGAAGTCCCTTCCAAAGTCAAACCGCAAATAATGGCTCTCTTAACGGCTGGATTCTTCCCTCGATCGAGTGGCTTCCTTGCAACCTTTTCAGTAGCTAATGGTAGGGAGTCGCGTAAATTGCTATGTTCAAAAAAAGCGAGAAAAAAGAATCGCCAACGAGGCACCTTTTCATGGTTGCCTAACGCACGTGCGTCCAAGGCAACGGAACTTGTAAATATTCAGCATCACCTTTTTCCGGGCTCCGCATGTTTTGCATTTCAGATTTGCACGAGTAAGGATTGACGGCGTTAATGCTTTGCGAGATTTTTGTTTCACATTGGGGCGATGCGGTGATGATGCGGTGGTCAATGGTTTCGAGTTTTAATCTGTTTAGTTGAAAAATGATCGACAGTCGTTTGATGTAGAGGCAGGTGTTTTTTTATAAAATATTATAAATGTTTGCAAGTTTTTCAAGTCTAGTTGTTCTTTCAGTCACTATTTATTACCGAAACCCTTCAAGCTTCACACTGTATGGTTATAAAACTTTACGCATTTCAAGCGTAAAAATACCTTTAAAAAGTGGAGTGCGGAGCTATCAATGGATTCCAACATGTCTAGCACAGTTAGGAACTCCTTACATTTTTCTACTGCATCAACTTTTTTTAGTTTGGAATAATGTACATACTTTTTCATTTATTTCGACGTTGGTTGCGAAAAAGCATTTTACGCTGGAAATTTGTTGCTTTTTTTACGATCACTCTTCGCACGAAAAATTTGTATACCCCACGTATTGTTAGAGCTGTAAAACGCCAAATTTCGCGAATCGAATATTACGTACAGTTTCGACATAAACATAAAATATTTATATTGTATTAAAATTAAATGAACGAAAAGCATTTTCATAATAATAAAGTAGTTTGTGATAAGCGTAAGAAGAAACGTAGTTTTGCTATATTGCTTAAGAATACATAAATCACAAAAAGTGAAGACAGTGAAAAGTTACAAAGAAAGCAGCTAAAGAAATTAGTAAAACTCTTCTTATAAATGAAAGTGTTTCAAAAGTAAATTATAATTTCAATAAAGTAAATTTTAAAAAGTAACTTTCACAAAAAATCAACAATAGAATAAAAAAAATCGCAGCGGAAACTAAATTGCAAGCGAGCGTGTCAATAGCAACGCGTGGAAGTTGATTTCGGTAAGAAAGCGAAAGGTAAAGTCTGGGACGACGGCTCTTACTATATATAGATGTTAAAGTGAATCGCTCGATGGTGTATGTTGCAGAGGACGTACCGCCGACGATACTGTTCGGCGTCCCAGCGGGATCGGCAGCATTCGAGCCGACGGGTACACTAGCCGTCTTCCCCGGGAGTATCCTTCACCTCGAGTGTCTCTTTGCCAGGCGCCTTGGTAATCCCGAGTGGACCTGGACATCCACGTACCGACAATATTTGACTGGTGAGTACTTCTTTATGCATCCTTTTATCCTTGTACCACTTTTGCATGTACGTCACACGTAGCTTCAAAAAGTCAGAACTATTAGCGTCCTATTGACTTCCTCTCTCACTTAAAATTCAACTTTATAAAAGAAAAAGAAGTATGCCAAGTTCAATTTCAACTTTGTCGAGACAAAATTTTTTGATTTAAAACTATTTCCATTTTCACGAATGTTCCATGAAAAACAAAGGAGCAAAGAGACAAGGTAGTGTTTTTCTGCAGCGGTCTTCTAATGAAAAAGACAAACAAATCAAAAAAGCTAGTCGTGCAAAATACAAAAATACACATCACGAAAGCTCAGTGTCGTCGGTTGGGGTGGCCCCTAACGAAGTTACAGCACCGCACGGCCAAACATAACTCAATCCGCGTTTGCGTGCGTCGCGAGGGTACGTATACTGAAAAAAAAAATCAGCGACGTAAATCTCGCTTTTCTTTTTTCTCATCTACATGTACCGCGTACAAAAATGCGTCGCCGCGCGCGTCCATTATGCGGTAATTAGTTTTTTCGGAATGAATACGGACGCCCGAGGAACGCAAATACAACAATGCTCTGTGCTAGCGCGGCCGCGTTTATTTTCAACGAAGGGCAGAGACGCGCATCTGCCGCTTGCCAACTTGGCTTCCGGCCGACTAAAGCAACGGCGACTGTTAGCTAGAGATTGTGACGTGTCGACGGTGACGAGGACGACTCTTATACTTATTCGCTTGAGTTGCTCGCTGATCGTCGTTGTGATTACACGTTTTAGGCCAGGAGGCTTCACGCCTAAATGCATGATGTTATCCGTGAAACGTTTATTAATTTTGAAAAGATATTCGTCAACAAACTTTTTAAAGCCCTTTTTGCGGTATATACTTTGCCTTGCATATATATTTTCCTCACTTTACTAGTAATCGGTATTTCATTCATCTCTTATACATTGTTTTTACCTTTCAAACGATGTAATAAGTATCTGAGTCGACTTAACAGTTGAATCTCCGAGATCATATCAACGGTCATATTTATGTTAATTTCTACTATAAATATCTTACGTTATACATAATACTTATATCAGTCGATACACTAGCAATTCATCAAATGCTGACGGATGACGTTTACCGTTCTCAAGAAGTCTAGAGAATTGCGCCATATACCCAAACAAATTGAAGAAAATATTGAATGAATTTCCAAGGGATTTCTCGGCAAAACCAACACATAGTCGCACACGCGCTAGGAATATACGAGTACGTATAGATTTTTTTCGTCGTTGCTATCGCCGAAGGCAACGTTATCTCAACCACGACACTCTCGCCTTGTGTGTAGCTCAATCCGTCTGCATCGATCATGTGCTCTTTGCATGTACAAGGCGGCAATCAATCCCCAGCCCCCCTCCTTCCACTGCTAGCGCTCGAGCTTACGTTTGATGACTCACGAGATAAATTAAAGTCGGGATGCTACGTGATATTCTCGTGTACGGTATATTTTTTTTTGAGATTTGCGTTTTCATTTGAAAATAATTGAGCATTGAGATACGGTGGTTCTGAATTGTGTAAAAATATCAAGTATTTAAACTGCAATTTTATGGCTGACCAAACCAGCGCCATACTACTGGTGGTGTATTTTACCGAGCTGTAAAGAGATTTGTTAGTGGTAGATGATGGATAGAAAAATTACAAATTGGTTCTCTGTAGTCCGCGAAGCTAATTTATATACATTTTGTTAGGGTTTTTAACTTAAACGTCCTTTACACGCTATTTTCGACATGATCGCAAACTCAAAACTTAATTTTGGAAACCTGTTTTCGATGCATTTATAAACTTTTTTATCTTAAAAAGTATTAGTTAAGATTTTTCATGTAAAGCAAATAATTTAAAAAATTTATTGAATTATTTAAAAACGTTGTCAAAATTAAATTATTTAAAATTCGATGTTTCATCCATTATATAATTAAAAGAATTGTTTGCATTTTTAAAAATTTTTATATATCATGAGTTCGTGAGAATTCAATATAACATCATCCAAAGCTTAAAATAAATTCAACTGTAAATAAATAAATTGTAGCATGTTTTACTTTTTTACATTTCATACATTCACTATAAATAAAAAAAAAATTATTTATTTAGGTTGAAATCTATTTTCTAATTATCAACGCATGATAATCTTTACTATAAATGCCTATTTTATGTTTAAATAATTACTGCATATTTGCAATAACTATTTATCGTGTAACCATATCATGGATTTTTTTATTCAACTGTTTGCTAAGGTGTGATCATTTGATATCCCCGCTATCTGCATCATATTACATCATGATTATTTCCTTATGATAAATTATTTGATAATTAGACTTTTTCGCAAAATCAGAGTATATAAATAGTCGATTGCTTAAATACAATGATAAATTCTTATTCAAAGTTAACATATTAGAAGTTAGAATATCATTGAAATTAATGAAATCATTAAATAAATAATTTTCATAGTAGATTTGTCTATATCTAATGACGGTTGTAACATTATACATCATAATGGATTTAATTGCCAACAATATATATAGATGTTATCCCAGATGATTATGCATATATATATGACGGGTTGCGGCATGCTGGCACTTAAAAAATATTACGTGATCGTTACAATTCACTTATCTCTCAAAGTTTTGACTTCCTTTCTATTGCATCTGCAAAAGTACGTGCGAACGCAACAAAAAGAAAACTTTTAATCAATTCTCGCACGCTGGTTGAGAAAAAAGAATTACCTTTCACTCCTCGAGTTGGGAAGAGCGAGTTCATGAAATCTTCTTTGTTGATGTAAAGACTCTCTTATTTTCTTTTGAATTGACCTCTTCCCTTTTTCCAAGATCTTATACTTCAAGTACTTTGAGTATACTTTAAGTTTGGATAACCGCGACGAGAAATGAAGCTGTTGATGTATTTTTTTACCATTTATTTTTTTATTTCTTTTTTTAAGTACTACATTTTGTTCAGAAATTACACTTACTTTGAAAAATTATTTTACATCGACTTTGTACATTATGATATTTCACGGTACTTATATCTTTTCCGAAAAAGTAACGGAATTAACAATTAACGATGCCAAAAATATTATGCATTCCAAATAGTACATTTTTTATGCAACATTTCAGTGCAGAGGTTCATAACGGAAATGTTTATTTTTAAATTTACAAATTCGTATTACTAATAAGTAGAAAGAGAAACGATAGCCGACGAAACGATTCACTTGACACGCATTAAGTAACATGTAAGCCTTTAATTTCAAAATACAAAATTAAATTATATAGAATTAAATTATGACCTTACGACCAATTGACCGCATTTAGTACGGAGAGAGAGAGAGAGGGACAGATTCTCAATAGCACAACGCACTGACTTCGCGATCGCGTCACCGACAAGTAAAACATTATAAGAATGCGACCCTAACTAAAATCCTCTATTTCTTTTTATTTGTTTCATACCACATCGATATTAAGCTACCGGAAATTTGTATCGGCAACGATGGCGAAAATTTTAGAAAGATCTCAAAAGTATCGATATATTTTTACTTTACGTAAATAGTCCTCGGCCGATAAGTCTGCATCCTTATTTAAAAGGTCATTTTCCCTGCGTTTAGAGCAGAAGTACCGTCGGCTTGTCGGCCGCGAAGCGACCAGATACTTCCTCATGCTGCGTCATTAGTTCCTTGCTTAGCTTTATTTTTCTCTCGCCTACGTTCAATTTATAATTATCTAAAGCCCCGGTAAATCAAAATCTAATACCTCGACCGTCTGATCTCGGCCATGTTTTCCTTCTGCCTTTTTACCTATTGTTATGTCTCTATCAGTTTTACCGGCTGCCTTGCGCTTACCCGTAGCCCTGTCAGTTTTTTCTGATTTTTTTCTGATTATAAATGTTCTTATGCAATCTCTTTATGAGAGATCGCTTAAAAGTCATTTCTGTGTGAATCGGTGTGCTCGTGCTCCGACGCGCCCTTTCATCCGACCTGTCGTAAACACTTTTTACTCGTCTAACAAAAAAAAAATGATTTTATCGAAACATCCTTTCATTTTTTTACTTCCGCATCGCATCTGCCACACCTCACACGCAAAAAACGTACGCGCGACTGGACACTCGACGAAGAGGGGCGGAATCCGCCGACGAATCACTCACCGCTGGCGCGCACGTTATTTATGCCGGCTGACCGGCTGCAGCTAGCGCCAGACAGATTAATGCCCCACAGCGATAGTAGAGGAGCGAGAGAGTGAGGCTGTCACCGTCAAGGATGATTGGCCGATTACGCGAGGGATGTTTTATCGATGTAATTTAATTAGAGCTTCGCGCACGTGAAAGGGAGGGTTGCGTGTGTCGTCGGGGTGCCTTACTGATGATTAACCGACGATTTGTGGCCAAGACAACGACGGGCACGTTACGCTTGTGAAATCATTGTCGTGTAGTTCATTAAAAATGAAAAGCTTGGCAATGCGAAAATTTCCAAAGACACCGTATATTCATTTGGATCAATAAATCTTTCTCTATTCGAATAGGTCAGTCGATGGTCAGCAAATCACCGTACAAAATGATCATTTTATCGTTGCAAAGATATTAGAAGCTGATTTAATTAATTCGATAATTAATTTCGCGCGTAATTAAAATTATTTACAGATAAATACGGTACAGAGAAGCAACTCTCTGAAGTTATCGCGTGGAATAATTACATTCCGCGCGGCAATTTCGACAAATTACTTTTTCTCGTATATAAACGTGAAAGTCTGTTTTTCAAATTTAATCTTCGAAAATCCCATGAAAATGAGTTAGCGTGCATTTTTAACGCTACAGTGACTTACGAATGACTTCCTCGACCAGAAAATCGTTAAACTCGTCTGTCATCTAAAAGTAGCAACGATGTGCACCTAAGGCAATAAAGTATTTATTCATATACGTCTAGTTCGTCCACTTGGTAACAGACTCTCATGCACACTGCATACACATGTTGTTTTATTCATAACACTTTCCGCCGCAAAAGCAAACAAAAATATCTGTCAGACACGTAGACGGATTATTGATTGCTAGTATATATCCGGCACACGAATTTAATTTGTGCGCTTGGATATACATATACGTGGCCGATGCTAATTTACATGCGAAATACGATTGTTTCGGCTATCGCTGGGAAACGCTATTTATGGAAGAGTGAGAGAGGAACACCTCGCAAGCGCTAACGTTTCGACAGTGTAATGGAAATGTATTGTGCCACGGTGCGTTATCGATACGACAAATCTTTCAATCAATACTACGAATGCTTTTGCTTATGCACGAGCGTTATGTTTATTTTACAAAGAAGAAGCTTACAGTAATGAGAGTCGAAGCGATACTTGTACTGTTTCATCGACGACATATATTATGCAGGCGTGAAATTTCAAAATTCATCGGTTAACGTTTACGCATTAACAGGTAATTGCGTCTTATGACAAGCAATTGGTGCTTATAATATATGAAGCTTCAATGTTTTTCGTCGACAGATTACGCAACGAGAGCTCTGCCGTCTGTGTTTGTCTTTCGTAGTGTCGCATCTTATTAACGGACATGTACACGAGCACACTTCAGACAAAATTTTTCGAATAAAACTTTTGAGCCTCCGCCACATCAATTATATGCGGCTTATCATTGCACTCATACAACTTCATCCAGCGAATATGTGTATATGTTGCAGGTTGGGCAATCGCAGCTTTCGAGAGAGATTGGAAATATCGACTATCGATATACTATGCGAAAACTCAAGACTCGGGGGTTTACACGTGCACGACCCCTCGAGGACTCACTAACTCTATCAAAATCCGTGTTGCTGGTGAGTATAATTGTAAGCTTTAATACCGACACCTTCAATAGTCCTAATGAACCTTCCTGTTATTTATAATTAACACACGGGCATTAATTGTACAATTAGCGACTAGCACTAGTGGTTGAAGAACGCCAGCTAGCTCACCGTCACAATTTTACATGTAATTATACATTCCTCCGGTCCAATAGAGGGCAAAGCAATATGATTCTTTTATTCCGCGAAGGAAACACCTTCGTTACGTGTTATTTATTATCTAGACGCTGACGCGTCTTGAAAACTTCGCCCGTTTATAAAACTCACGTTTCCATTTCATCTTTAACATTACATCTTTTACGAGCAGTTTTATTTACTTTTTATATTCTCAATCCACGGCTATCCTGAAAACATGTGTCATGTAACTATTTTAAATATACCGAAGCAAAACCACATGATCAGTTGAATAGGTGATTATATTGTACAAAGGACAATTTGTATTAAGGACGTTCTCTTGACAATGACTTTTCTTTGAATTTTGACAATACGGTCCTTTTTTCATTGCCTACACATCAGCACAACAAAATGAAATAATGATATTTTTTTTAAATATCCATTAAATTTTAATTAATCTTAAAATTTTACCTTTTTAACACGTATCAGATAGGCTCAGTTAATATTCGTGATGCCTTCCGTTCAATTGTAAACTTAATTTAATAAAACTTAACTTAAATTAATAAAAAATGTAGATACCGGTATTCATTGAAAACTTGAAGCTATTAAGATTTCTCGCATTGTGCCAATAGTATACCTATACAGCGGTAGTCTGCACAAAACTGTATGACGTGCTATAATTTTACTCATTTTTTTCATCATAATCTAATAACTGTGTGTTATTCTCAAGAGATTTTTTAACCTAAACAATGCTATTAACCAACAATTTTGGCGATAACAAATTTTCTAAGCAGATTGTTACAAGAGAACATCCTTAAGTCAAACGACTCTTGTTAGCCATGAGTGTATGCTTACAAAGTCAAAGTTCTAACCACCGTGTTGCCAAGATAGACAACGTTGATAGAATACTTCTTTCTTTTGTTTCTTACGCGGTCAGTGTGCACTTGGCAGCGCAGTGAGTGAATAATTAAAATTCTATTCGTGAAATTGAAATAACTGTATTTCAGCTGAAAGCAACTATTTTTTAACCTTCGTAGAAATTATTACCTTTCGTTTCTGTTTTGTATTATTTATGAAATAAAACTGAAATACAATTAAATGTAAAAGTTATATATGCGTGTGTGTGTGTGTGTATAACAGTGTATATATATATATATATATATATATATATTCTGTAGCGTTCCATTATTTTTACTTGATTTTCTTCGCGCACTCTTTGCAATGAGACTTTCAGCTATAAATCGTTCAATTATTTTACTATTTTTTATATTTTGAAATATATTTAACATCAGAATTGTGATAACATACGAATATTCTATAAAAATATATTTAATACCCTTTACTCATGAAAATAACCTTCAAACAGCAAAAAAATCTATACCATCCAGAAAAATCAAAGATAAATCAACAAATGAAAAAGTAAATCTTTTCCTCATAGATTTATTAGTGCGGTGGAGTAGCTGTAGCTAAAGCTATCGCGAACATGTCAATCTTCGAGCACACAGCTAGATACGCTCGTACAGTGTATACTTTTCCCTTGTGGCACGAAAGAGCCGTTTAAAATTTACGTACGTGCGTCAAAGCCATCGTTCACTCACGGGCATTATCGAACACGTGTATCTATAGAGTTTCATTTTTTCTGGAATTTTACCAAGCGTCAGATCTTTCACGCCCTTTAAATTGTTCTTTTTTGTTTTTATTTTTGTTTTCTTTTGTTTTTTCTTTGTTTTTTTTTTTTGAGAGAGAGAAAGTAGGTTGAGCTTAAAAGTCCATTGAAAAGTATCACTTCGATTGAAGTTAGTTCATTGGACGACGTTTCCGAGCTGTACGTTTGAGTTCAAACAGTTAATCGATATGCGACGTATAATTATTCAACGGTATTGCGCTATAAAGATTATTTTGTCTCTAAACTGAACGAAAATCTTTGAATAATGCGCGCTGTACCAATTGAATAAATATATCCATAAACAAGGCTTATAAAATCATAACTTATTCGGAAAATTGAAAACCGATATTCGCTGCACAGGTAAACAGCTATATTTCATGATCAAGTCACACCTTGACTGTACCTTTATTTTTACGTTTCATTCTGACACGGTCTACATGCGAATTCGTGCTTTTTCCGACTACAGTTTTCACTGCACTGTTTTCGTACAAAAACTGTTTATGCGTCGGTATAAATGTTGAATTGCAGTTAAAATATTTTTGAATTGTGAAAAAATAATATATCGTACGGTATTCACTTTATTCTATTTCGTAAAAATAAAAGCATTGGAAAAAAGCTTTTATCATTAATGGCAGGTTCAAGCTCTCTTTCTCTATGTGTGTGTATGTGTGTGTCTTTACGGTAGCCTACAAAAGAAGTTCAATAAAAGTGATTAGCCGAAGCTCAAGTCTGTTAAATGAGTAAAGTTTGTAAAGGAAAAAGGCTATTCCATTTTCTTGACTATGTGCTATATACATACAGTACGTGGATTTAGGTCCGCCAATCTTTTCAAAAGAAAACCTACTTAAAAGTCTTCAACAATGATAGGACGTTTCTTGTGTGTGTATGTTGTAGATGTGCACTGTCCGACGCTCAGGTCGATTGGGCCACCTCTCATCTCTAAAATCGAGGGTCCAAGACTTGGCGAGAGCGCGAGTTTCGACTGTCCCAGTGGTTATAGACTTGAAGGTACTGCTGCTATGACCTGTCAGTACAATGGTAAGACAGTTTACATATTCTTTTGGAATTTCTTACTTTTATGCTCATGAGAATTTTTTTTCTTTTACTTTTTGCGAGCTTTGAACGAATAATTTGGATACGGTCTGAAATCCTTTATGCGACAAAGGATTTCTACGCGTCTTACACGCTTTTAGAGAGAAATTATAATCGTGTATCATACATTTCTGAGATACTCAATTTTAACCTAAATCTACGTTTGTTACAAGATGGTGAATATTAAGCAACTTTTTGTACAATGTTATTGTTGGTATGATATAAAGTACAACTTTTTAGTCGAAACTAATGTATTCTAATTTACCGCTTTGCTTTGAAGTACTCTTCATTTTCGCTAATTGATAGGTTTGACTTGAATATTGTCAGTTGAATAAATTAAGAATAATAATAAATCTCATGCAATAAATAAAAGAATTTTATAATTTTGAGATTGTAATTTGATAGGAAGTGAACGGAAATAAGTTGATGGATTTTACCATAAATTTTACGAATTGTGCAAATAGTTAGAACAGAGTTGTAGTTAAGAAAAAATAGAGTTTGATGGTTACGGAAAAAACTTGTTGGAGGCGAGAGCGTGAATGTGGTACAAGGAGCGCTAACGGCGCGAACAAAATTTAAAATAAAATATTGGTTTTCTCTTTTTTTGACAACCAAACAACTAAAAATTCACAATAAATAATGGACTACCGCGTACTTTGCAACTTGATTCATTTGAAATACGACATAAATATACAGCAAAATTCGAAATAATTGAGTTAATCAGGCATGCCCTTTTGATAAAGAAGTAACAATAAAAAGAAGTATATTAATCAAGTACGTCGCTGAAATGCTAATAAAACATCAAGATAGAAAGATCCTTACTGATCACAGACCAGCATCCAACTTTTCTCACGGGATAATTACAAGGGTCAGTCCTCAATTTCTTACCTTATTCCCTACAAACCCATTCCCCTCTTTCTTTCTTTCTTCTTTTTTGTGCAGCAACGTCGTTTCTTTGATAGCTTCTTCTTTTCCGGCCACTTTTTTTTTTTTGCTTTATCGTCGTCGCCCAAGCTCGCGCGCGAGAACGAATGGCGTACTTATCTTAAATCACTCCATCGAGGCTGTTTTCCAGCGCGAGCACAGAGCGAGCAACGCGAGAGTTCTCTTCCAATCGGGAACAGCTTACGATCGCCGCGCGATCTTCTTCTTTCTCTTCGGTTCCTTTTTTTCTTCTGGTAAGCGATCGTAGTAATTGGAGCTGTATTTTTCATTGCTATACTATCGGGATTTTTCGTTCCGTTTGTTTCCATGGTTTTATCTTTTATTTGTTTGTGAATCTTACTTTTCTCGTATTGTCGTGAAATATTGAATTTCCGGCTCACTTTGTAGTTCACTTTTTTTGTTTGTCCATTTCGCGTTCATTTTTTGCTTCTAGGATAGAAGCAATAAATGGGAGATTATTTTCATTTTCCGAATGCTGACCTACTTTCGGACGCAATAGTAACTGAAATTTCGTTTGATGGATTAAATCCTTCGCTGTTGCATTCGATGTATTTGTCAAATAAATAAACTGAATATGAAAAGTATCAGAAAAAGTTGTTTCATGTTCTCATCAATGACAAAATGCAAACCAATCACACCACCCACATTACACCATAAGTACTTTCATAATTTCAGGTAAATGGTCGGCAGACGTGCCTCACTGTGAAGCAATAGTTTGCCCAGCAGTACAGCCATCCAACCCGAATCTCCAAGTATTGGAGCACAATAACAGTTATGCAGGTAAAGCAATCTTTACATGTATGTGGGGCCATAAACTTAGCGGACCGCAGGTCATCAAATGCCAGAGGGACGGTACCTGGAGCGGACCGTTACCAACGTGCAAGGGTGAGCTGACAAGTTACTACTTTAGTTTTTTCGAATTTTTTACGAGCAAAAAAACATTTAACGTGCTGAAGCGTTTTTATATTCGAATTCTTTGCTTTTCGTTTCAACTATCAAAAGAACGTAAATTTCTTTGAACATTGTAAGTATTTTACTGGGACTAAAAATGGATGCTCGACTTGAAAATCTTCCAAAGGACAATTGCAACTTCTTCATCACTTTACATCTTTACTTCTAATTAAGAACTCCATTTATAGTTAATACTCACAATAAGAGCAAGTAGCTAATTTTCAGAAATAAAAGGAATAATCGAGCAACAAGAAGGGGGGATGGGGCGGAAGGAAAGGTAGGACGTAGAGCTTGTCGGAAATTGGTTCGTTATAACGTGGCTGACAACTCTCCTCTGGCAAGTTTGAAGTTAGGAAACAAGTGGTAACTCAACAGCAAAAGTTTGACCAAGTTATCAGGCTTTACTATGTAAACGCTTGCAGTGCTCATAAGTGCATCAAGCGATACTTATCCAACTTTCTTCCTTTTTTTGTTGAATTGAAATTTGTTGAAGGCTAGCTTAATTGTTTTTATTGCGAGAAAGTCGAGAAAACTTTGCATGCTTTTTTTTATTAAAAGATTTCTGCATAATAGTACGAGAAATGCAAACTCACGCGCAGTACGATCATAGTTATGGAGTCGCTACAGGGAAGTGCATATAACAAACGAAATCCAAGTATGAAGTTCACAGATAGATAGATTGATAGAAGGAGCGAGTGCATATAGTTAAGAGATAGAGAGAAAGCCAGATCAGAAGTTTTGCGCGTTAAACGAAGCATCACTTGGAGCCCGCGATGGAAGCATAAAATTCCTCTTGTAACGTAATTAAATGCAGCCAAGTCTCGTTTCAGCTCTTTGTGTTTGAGAGTGAGTGCATTTCGCCAGCGCGGTCTGAGAGGCCACTCCCGGGGCTGCCTGGGTATATTCGGTTTCGGTTATTTCCTTTGAGTGGCTGATGCTGCTTCGTTAACAAGACTCTTGACTATGTCGACTTTAGTATGTAAAATAGAATTTCGAAATCTAACGATTCCTTTATTCCTTTTGTACAACGATTCAAGCTCCGTCGTGCTCAACATCTGTAAAAATTACATTTCCGAGATGATTTTTTACCGAAATCCTTCTCTGTCGGAACAGTGCAATTGAAAGATCAATACATCGACGAGATTCAGCCGCACGCGTCTACAGCAGCCTAGAAGCGGTTATACGTCGTACACTGACCTCACCCGCGCAGTCGTTGTCGTCTGACGTATTGTTAACAATTCTCGTGGAGCTTGATTGCGTAGACAACATCAAGCGAATGTGCATCAATTGCTCGAATAAGACAATGGTTGTGAAATATATGGATATCCGTGCAACGATTCAATTTTAGTGCACAGCAAAATATTATTGTAACGAAACTTGACGAAAAAAAAACACTTTTTATTAGCACCTCTGAGAAAGTTTCTAATTATTCTTTCAATTTTTTTTATCTCTCGCCGTCGTTGCGCTCTTCTTTCTTTCTCGACTTGTTTGCCTTATCCTTATTGCTTTTTTACTCTGGGGAAGTAATAAAAGAAACTTCCGTCTCCGTTCTTCTTTTGCAACGAATCTAATTGCAAGACCAGAACGCATTATAATATTGCGTGAGACTATAAGCAGAATGATCCTCAGCTTGATTAAATTTAGACTTCGTATTATACGGTGTTTGGAACTTGAATCTTGACATAAAAAAAACTACGCACAACTTCGTGCTATTAACGATAATTGCCACAAAGCAATTAACAATAAACAAGCCCAGCGTCCATCAGCAAGCTAGATTATGTCTTTTACAACCTTTTACAATCTGTGCACGCTGTTAAAGTTCATCACGCCCTAAGAATCACCCATAATCCACCCTCCTCACACGTTGATCTTTTATCTCTCTCACTAGCAATCAACGATTCACGAGCATGGCTATTCAAAGCTTCCTCGTAGTAATAACTCGTAGCTTTACCCCTCTGATCTCATCAAAATAAAAAGAAAACTTTCAATAAGAGGATCTTCATTGGGAAGCTCGAGTGTAATTACAAATAACAGGGGCTCAATTTTCCGCGCTGTTTTCTTTTCTCTCTCTCTCTCTCGCTCTCCTCCCCCTTCTCGGTTTTTGCGGTTCGTGTCTGACATGGGTGAGTGAGCAGATCCCCTCTTCTCATGTCGAAAACTAACGAACGCCTGGCGAAGGAAAAAGTACAAGCCAAGTGACTCTCTCTCTCTCCCTCTCTTTATCTTCGGTGAAGCTCTCCGTGTTTTGTCGACGTTCTCTCTGGACTCAAGGGATCGTAAAGTTTTCTCTCGATTCCTTTGTTCACGGATTCTCACACGTTGATTATTTTTTTCAGAAAGGAATAAGTGATTGGCTCAAACGTCGCACTGGAATTTGAAAAGTTTATTTGCATGCACGCGCACGTATCTCTCTTGTATACATTTCAATTTTATAAATTGAACTTTCATGTAATGGCTTTGAAAGCAACGATTAATGCGTCGTATGAATAACGACCTGTAAATTTTACGAGCAAGGCACTATATGTGGATGCACTTTAGTCACCGACGCTGCTGTGCTCGTATGTTTATAAATTCACTATTAAATTTATGGCTTTGCATAAAAGTCATCGCCGAGTATAACCGACTCTTTCTGCTGTAAATTTAACGCCAAAGCACAAAAAATTTTCAATATGTATTTCGATGATACAACAAAAAATCACAAGCTTTTCTTGAAAATGATTCGGAGTTACGGTGTGTAAGTCCTCTATTTATCGTTTCCACCCTACAAATCCACTCGTCTTCTCTCTACGCTTCTTTTTCTTTTTTCGCTTTCGAAAGCATTTCTCGTTTTTCAGTCTTTTCACCTACTGCCTCTTATCACGCGATCATTAAGCTCTCTCTCCCTCTCTCTCTCTGCTTCTTTTTACGTTGCCCAAATTACTTGTACCTCGTCTTTTATTTTTTGTCCGCATACGCCCTTCACTCTCTCTCTCTCTCTCTCTTTCTTTCTTTCTTTTTCTCTTTCTCTCTCTCTCGAGTACTTTTCCCTTTTAGAAACATACCAGCGTTTTCGTCTTATGTATAGCCACCGTGAATTTGCTGCCTAAATCGGGCTACTATCATCTTGGCTTTGAAGAACTGAGGGAGGAAATTGCTTGCCCACTTTACAAGAAGCTGAGCACTTCTATTTCGCACGTTAATAGAGCGTGGAGACACAAAATTATCGTATCGTGTTAAGTCTTTTATAAAAATAAATCCGAAGAGAACATTTGAAAAATATTCTTCCTTCTGATCAATAATAAATAACTTTGTTGCAGAGATCACCTGTCCAACGCCATCGGTGCCAAAGAATGGTAGGATCGTCGATCACGAACAGCAGCAACGATATCAGCAGACGAGTAAGCGACGGATACAGCGAGTTGGCTCGTTGCTGCGATTCTCCTGCCTACCGGGTCACCAGCTTGTCGGCCAAGCTTCGATCATTTGCACGGAGAATGGCACGTGGTCGCATCAGTCACCGATATGTGAGTGCGCACGATCGTTAAAACATTTGATTTAGTATTTCTATAGAAGGTATACTGCATAAAATACATCATGAAAGGTTTATCAAAATACTTTATTACATTAATAACTAGGCTCGGATTTTTCTTTGGCCAAACTCCATGTAATGAAAAAAATATATACAGGAATATCCACAGGTACAGCTTGAACGATAATTTTTTTCATGCGCGGACACATAGGTATATGATATCGTGCAGCGAGATGGCGAGCCGTAAAAATGCCGTTCATCCCTGAATATTCGCAGGTCACTCGAACGTTTTCTCTCGTCGCTTTAAAATTGAGGTGTCAAGCAGCGCTTGGGGTACTATATGCCGTAGAACGTAACACTAGCAATCCAGAAACGGGTTATCGCAATAGTCGAACCGGAAGAGGCTGTGAAAGCAATATCCGTCCTAACGTTCAACGTCGAGTTCGTCGGCTCTCATACTTTCCAATTCCTTTCCACTTGTATAAATGTGTATACAACATGTCTGCGCGCGTGCAAGCTTGTTGTTTTGTGCTCCCTCATAGATTAATTGCCTCGTCGAGGAAACCTTTCAAAAGTCATTTACCCGAGCAAACGCAATTTCGATTTCCCAGACAGGCCTGCGTACCCGCTGTCGACGCTCTTTGACAACGGGAGAAGGAGGGATGCGAATTTGTTAAACGCCAGTCGGTAGTTTGAGATGTGTCTGAGGCTTTACTACTACGCTGAATCAATTAATATTTAAGATTGTCCCAAATGGGTTCGTGTAAATTGAATGAGGTTCTTAGGTAAATACTATGGGCTTGGGTTTACTTCGGTTTGTTTTCAAAGCTTTCACGCACGAATCCCTTCTATTCGTTACGTTTCATTAGATATTAATTTGATCATCAATTATTTTCACTAATATCTAATGCGTAAAACTATCACTTACATATAAATTATTTCAGATTAAATATACTTGATTGAATCTCACAACATTCAAGATAAATCTACATTTCTTGATTAAAAAACTAAAAAATTTGAATGAGAATGCAAAATTATACGAAATAATTTCTTGTTATTCCACTTCTGTCACCATCCAAATAAAAAAGGGTTTAAACCGGATACAAAACTGCTATTTTTTTTAAGTTCAAAAGCTGCTTTAATGACGGGAAAATGAACGATGTTTTTCTACTGCTTGTTTGCAGGCGAAGTGAGGTGTCCATATCCAGGCGATCCGCCGCACGGACGAATAGCACCATTGAAATTCTGGTACAAGACAGGTGACACGATCCAGGTAACTTGCTCGCCAGGCTACGTGACGCCACTGGAGCCGGTACGCAAACCCACGTGTCGAGAAAACGGCATTTGGAGTGGTCCACCACCACCTTGCCGTTCGTACAGGGATGTATGATAAACGCGCACGTATTCTGACGTTACGAAACGACTGGACGCATTGTATCAAAATAATAAGAAAAAAAGTAAAAAAAAATGAGCGTGTCATTCGCGATTTGGAGATGGGTTGGCCTGTTAAGACGCTGATGGGTAAACAAAGAGTTAAGAAGGAAGAGGCTTTTCGCGGCTTCCGTAAAACGTGACCTGCTTGGTCGAAAAATAGTGGTACGTAGGATGTGTGCGCAATTGTAAAGGAGAGAGGAGTGTGTACGTGCTCTCGACGCGCGGCTAAACTAAATTACCCCTGCTCCCCCGTACTAGTTTCTCGGCCAAACGAACCATTCAATCTGCTCTTTTTTTCTCTCTATCTTTCACCTTGTTTTCACATCATCGATATGCGAAATGCAAGTACGTAAAGGAAAGAATCGTGCTCGAGTAAATATTTTTGCCAATTTGCGTGGTGTATGTGTTCGCGTACTTGTAACAGTGGGCAAAAGTGAGTTTGCAAAACAATGTCGCGTTGTCGCCAGCTTAAATCCCAAAATATTCGTCGGTATACAACAGCAGTAGAGTACGTGAGAAAGAGGGAGACACGACCACGGAATTTCGTTTTACGCTTTCTCGCTGCTACTTGTCCTCGATATACGTTGGTGGTACAGGAGGCAAACTCTGTCTTACTCTGTGTATCCGTATGGCGGACACGTGTGACCTCGCGAAGAGGATACTGTAAACAAGTCGAGCTGATACTACTCTTGCTACGCTTGCTTTCGTGTGTACATATGCGAGGACATTTTGCAGATCTAAGAAAGTGGCAAAGCGGTGACTTGATACCAGTGAAAATTCAGCTGAAACGATAAAAGAACAGAAACGTTGTGAAATGTGCTTTTCGGTTTTCTAAATCCGAGATGTTATATGTTGTGACGAAGGGAAGGAGGCAGAAGGTGAAATTCCGAGCAAACGAAAACTAAAAGCTTCTCGCGAACTGCAGACAAGCTCAAAATAAACAAACAGCTGCCGAGAAGAGAGCACGGCGAAAACTTCCAACGCAGTAGCGTGTGTCAGAGTAACCGTAAACTCTTACAATAAACGCATACGCTAAAAGTGTCTCACGAACCGACAAATCGCTAAAAACCATGCAAAAAAGCCTAACCCACACGAGAAATGGACGACGTACGCGAGACATGTATGTTACGAGCGTTAAAGCTTTCTTTTTTTTTTGGTCTGACGACACACGGGCATGCACTACTACTTTGAACGTGGTTTTTCTTGACGACGGTTAGACGTACACGTTAAACATATTTCAGAACAAAGAATTTTTTCATGATTCAGTTGTCATTCTAAAACACATCACGCACGGAAATTCAAAGATTTTTCGAGTCATAATCCGCGAGTGTTAATCAACTAAGCTCGTTGTTACTCTCATCGTATCTCCTCATATACGAGCCGAGAATATTCCCAAAAGCACGAGATTAATTAAGCTCCTCTCTCCTGGCCCTTTCTGTCTCTCTGGCCCGCGCCCTGGCGCCATCTGTAAATATTAATTGCCGAGCGCTGCGTGTGGTCCTCACTCCTGTGCACACATACGTACGCAAAAGAGAAATGAAGTGTTAGTTTTCTCAAAGAAAATGTGCGCTTGAGTGAGAGACTATTAGAATTGCTCCATTGCTCGTGGCATTTATTAAAAGAATCTTTATTTGACAATGACGGATGAAACTATATTTTATGTCCAAAATTGCGATGTAGATTCCGTTTTGTTCTACGAGGTCGTAAACAATTGACTAGTAATATGTTTTGTTTTTTTGTTTCGTCAAAGAGACTATGTAAACGCATTGATTTTCAATTGTTAAGAAAAAAACGTAGATAAGAGTCAACAAACCATGTACAACAACGAACAGTTTGTTCACATATTTGCTGTTCGAGAAAAAGAATATCGAGTGGTGTTCTTAAAAAAGCTCGAGTTCTTGAATATACATAGCTATAAGAAATATTTTAGACCTTATTCCTTTCATATCGATGTATAATAAAGTACTGTTTATTCTTTACAGACGAGTGCAATTTTTCCCCTCCTTTTCCAATTAACCTATTTTCACCTTACGCAATATCGATATAATGATAGCGCTTGAACGTGCGTTTTCAATCTGTCAACTTTCATTTTTCAATCAGAGATCCCCCTTTTAACCCAGATTTCAATTTGCATGGAGCGTATTTGTATACTACAGGCTTTATATATCGATTATCCATTCATTCTTCTAGCTGAGCCTTCAATTTCGAATTGCCTTATACAATTCAAGTGCCTATTGCGTATCAATCAATTTTCTATTTTTTTTTATTAGATTATTCTTAAAAGCTTGTAGTTTAAAGTTCTACTTGAGGCTAGGGCAGCGTTGGACGCTGAAAATATAATGTTTTTTTTGGTATAATTATCTTAACTATACGTTCAAGATATTGTTTTCTTTTATGACCATCGTTGATTCCGTTCTAGATGATTTTATATCTTTTTTGGCTAACGTTGTAATAACAGACTGAATAAGCTTATCGAGATCAAAAGAATTTGCATCTCTAGAAAAGTGCAGATGAGAGAACAAATTTGCAAAAAATACAGAAAATAAAGGAGGAACAAAACTTGATGGTACCATTGCAAAGGATGACAGGACGCCTTGTTGGCGTCGGACGACAAATGTATTCAAATATATTTCGCCTGACTTTAATAAAACCGCGCGCTTTTCTCCATTATTGTACCGTCGTCGCGGCTAACGCTTGGATTATGACTACGACAGGGTAATGACATTACCATCTGCTCGCGACGTTGAATGAACTTGTTTTCCTCTTGAGAACTCGCCGGAAGAAGAGAATTGTTGGAAATTCGATGTTTATCTCATGCATATTTTCCGAGAATTGCGTAATAGCTGATAAATTTGGTGCTGAAGTTTATACGAATTATATAATTAACGGAGCTTTCACCGAAAATTCTATCGACAAAGTGGAGAAACTTTCTTTTTCCGCGTTGAATTATATCGATCTGATGAAAGTTTTCACGTCGATTAAATTACGACTAACCGTCTAGCCTGCTTGCTTCCAGCGACAAATGATTTTCTCCATAACTTTTTCCGACAGGCAATCCAACTCTCGCGCGTGTGTATAGATAGCTTTATGAAGCAAAGTAATAATAACCCTAGAAATAATTCCCCATTAGTGCCGTAGAAAAAATATCGGAGACGATAAAAATATTGGCTACTCGCCAGTTCACTTACAACATTGAACTAACAAAAAAATGAAAGAGGAAATGAATATAAAGCCAGAAATTATTTCCATTCCGCTAACTCTTTGTCGGCTAAATTAATTAAAGCTTTAATCAGTTGGTTTACGTTTTCCAAGAACAGCGAGTGCTTTAAATTATACGCGTAATCCGCGAGAGAGGCTCCGCCGCCAACGTCGATTTCGAAATCGCTCAAGTGCAGAACGCTTAACTAAATATCAGAGACGGTTAAAAGCTGAAATTTTCCCGTGGAGTTGTTTCTTAGCAAAGTGCAGTTTGGAAAATTGATGAACCGAGGTAGTTAAATGATTAATTATTTGAATGAAGCTAGAGTCAGGAGTTTTAAAAGTAAGTTGATTATAGATCGAAAAGTTTTAAATGTTTGAGCGAGCTTTGAAAGCAAAAATAATTTTTATGTTGAATTTCGTTGAACAAATTAACAAAATAGCCCATTCGGTAAGCGCGCGAAAGCAGCGAATTTCGCAATCCATTAGGAAAATTACTAGTAATGAGATTTATTAAGCGTTAAAAAAGCAAACGCAATATGCGGCAATTGCCGCCAAATGCAATATCTCGTTCAAACTTACATAATAGCAGGTTAGATCGAAATCGTTCCAAGTTACATAATGGCACAATATATCCTCAATTCAGCAACCGAGCAATGTAACTCGACGTAAAGCGGCATTCATCGTTAATTGATTCACGGAAGAGGGTAATGTTAAATGCGCAGCTTGGGGTTTACGACTGAAGGCGCGTACAACACGATACTTGGGTGGTGTTATATGGCTTTTTGTACAACTTATCTACTGTGTGTGTCTATTTTCTTACTATATCATACAATTTTATAGGCAGTACTTTGAATAATATCGATTATGCCAATAAAACATTCCGCATAAAAAATTTGTTACTAATTTTTAACCATAAAATTCTAAATTTTGCAAAGTTTCGAGCACGCGTCACAAGGAAAAGCAAGCCGTCGCTGTCGCGACCCTAAACCCACGGTATTACCACACTGATTACACACGTCGGTTAAACTCAAAACCTAATCGATGGGTACATCGAATGTTACGCGAGCCTCGATTGGCTCTGACCGCAAGGATTAGAGGAGCCATGCTCGACTATCTGATGTTCAATGATGCATTACGAGAGTCTAAAGATGTATATTAGCTTTAAATGTAAAGTAGAACAAATTAATTGATTATTTCTAATTTTTTCATAAATTGTCTCTTGAAAAGTTTAGTCATGAATGCAGTTGAAATGCGATTATAGAATAAAAAAATATACATCAGAATGGAGGTTACGATAGTATACTAGTACACTGGAATATATCCGAATAGCAATGTATTGCTTGAAAAGAAATTGCCTCAAGCGCTTAAACAAAATAATACGTACAATCGTTCAATAAACCATATCAATGCTTTCACGTACTAATCGATGAATTGCATATAACGCAATTGCATTATAACGCATTAGAAACTATCTTATTTATTTTTTATTGAATAGTATCAATTAGATGTAGCATTTTCGAATGAACGGTTCAATCAGTAAGACTGTACGCACTATCGAGTCAATGCGCACATCAGAGAGAGCAGTCAATCAACAATTCAAATAGAAACTGTTTCACCAGCTGATTCAGCAAAACAACAGCACGCATGCACGTAGCATTGAACAATCAACCTTTCAAATATCGTAATTTCAGCAGAATACTATATATAATCGCCTTAAAGTTCGACCATGTATACCGAAATTTCATGGATCAACCGTACGCTGGGAGGCCGGACATTCGCGGTGAGCGAATAAATTTTACGCTCCCACCACCGACGCATACCGCGGAACTGCAAGTTTCCACTATGCTGCGCTGTTATTTACGCCGCGGTGGCGCAGCCGAACGGTAAGAGCACAGCGCCACGATGCGGGGAAACACTCGTGATTTTTTATTAAGTTTTTGCAATGGTAGTTTATTTCTGACTAATGCGAGCGAGTACATATAGAGGGAGAAAGGCTTTGATTGCATTTTCAGTTTGTTCGTTCGTTCGTTCGCAAGCGAGAGTTGAATAGAAAGTTGAGTTTGGAAGTTTTAATGACGGAGCAGTTCACGTTCGAATGTAGGTTGCCGACAATCGATGTTATTATTTTATATCTTTTCGTGTTAAGAATATTTATTATAGTTGATATTTCCCAGATAGATTTAATATATTAGCGATGACAGTTGTACAAGTTTGATGACGAAACTTTTAATCTTTCAATCGAATAACAGTGTAATATAACCGATCAGTCTGAATCGTTTCACCTTATGTCACCATAATTAATCTAAATTTGATCATTTAGATAAGATAATTACGCATTGAGCTAAAATTATCACGAATTAATTAACCTTTGGCTTATTTAAATTAACCTTTGTTCATATGCATGATTTTGGCTTCATTCTCTTGGATATTTTAAAGTATGACTCCACCTCACGGGTGTATACATTTCATAATATTTAGTACGTTTTCGTAAAGCGGATCTTAAAAATCATGCTCGAATAAAATATTTTCTGTTGTTTTTATGCCAACAACTTTCAAAAATTAGTAACTAAGAACTATGTAAAAGAGACAGAAAAACGTAAAAAAGAGTTTCATGGAATCCGCTCATTTAAATGAATAAAATTCTCGTAAAATCTATAACATAAGACTGCGCTTTTAAAACTCCAGTCGTATCTTTTCCATACTCGTGAATGAACTGGGTATTATTTTCCGTGAATAATAAAAAACGATTCTTCGCAAGAATGCACGTCAATAAGTAAATTCCTAGAGGGTTTAACAATAAAATACGAAACCTTTTTTTATTCCAACTTTTTTACACTTCAATTGTTATTCCACATATTGGTGGTGTAATTCTAGCAACTTAGTATTCATGACAATTTACTCAAGAGAGAGAGAGAGAGAGAGAGAGAGAGAGAGAGAGAGAGAGAGAGAGAGAGAGATGCAATCGTTTCTCACACAAGGAATATGAGAAAGAAAACGAGTCATGTTCGAGAGAGCACACATAGCCGTTTTTTTTATACCTTGACTCGCGAGCATTATCGGCCGACAGAGAAATCAATTAATTCTTTTTCACGAGAGGATAAAATTGTTAGAAAATATATAACAATAAAATGATGTATTCAAATCAAGCACAGTTTCTCCAACAGTGTTTCTCATGCTATAATCGAATTTTTCACGCTTGACAATCATTTATACAACTGGTCCACTTTAGCAAATATAACTCTCAAATTTATTCTTCATCTTTAACGCAAATAATAACGCAAATAATAATAGCTCATCGTTACTTATTATTTGTAACAATATTTTAAACAATATTCTATGAAAAATTTCTTTTATCTGTACGAAATTTATATGGAATAACATACTCAACTTACAATAATAATAGCCTGCACAAACTCACTAACGAGACAACCAGCTGCTATTGTGATGTTGATTAATTGTTACCTTATCAACAACGCAAGATTTCTTCGTTATATTGAATTACCATCACCGTATCTTCGCCTACTTTTACTTTAGTTTATTTATTTCGTCGATATACTGCTTCTGCATGGTTACGTGACTACAATGTGTAATAGATTAGATTATCTTAGGCTTCTGTTTTTTCACGATGGTGGCATAAATAATTTTGAAAAGTTTCTTGATTATTGAATGATTGTACTTTCGAAGTTATGAATAAAAATATGAAAAATTGGTTTTCATGAATAAACTCGTCGCATTATAAAACATTTTCAAGTTGCT